AAGGAGGGGAAAAGCTGCGAGTCCCTTGTGAAAGAGAAATGTCACAGGTCGAGCGGCATTCACATCCTGGCCGGGCTGCTGAGCAGAGGAGGAGAGCGGCCCTGAAATAAAGCAGGAATTTGGGAAGACAAACAGCAATAATTCACACGGCTCTGCTGGCGGAGAAAAATCCCAGTGCCTCCTGGAGCTGGGCAAGGGTCCCTCCTCCCTCCCCCAGCAAACAGCACCACCCCCCTGGGCATCTGCGCTTTTGGTAACTTTTTATTAGTAGTATTTTATGAGAGAAAGAGAAGAAAAGCATCTCTGGCAGCTTTGGGAGAATGGAGGCAGGACAGCATGTGCTGGCTGCGCTGGCTGCAGGAGCTGCTGCCCCTTGTCACAGTGGAAAACAGGCCAGCTGTGCTGGACCTGCTCCTCCAGCCCCAAAACATCATCCCCAGCACCCACGGCGAGGCACTGCCCAGCCCCTGGGCTGGCAGAGGAGCTGCTAGTGGGTCCGGCCCCAGCAAAGCTTTCCCTCCCCGTGAGAACAGCCGCTTGATGCCCATCTGAAGAGCACATTTTTTTGATTAGGGGAAGCCACAAGACCGAAATGTACCAAAATCCCGGTCAGAGCTGGAGCACAAAGCATGCGCGTGCAGGGGAACCTCGACGGGAGCCAGCACATAACGTACATGCAGCCTCTCCGGGGACCGCAGTATATTGCACGCATGTGTGCACGCCTTGCTGAGGCCCAAGCACGGCTGCCTGTGTCCGTGCAAGGAGGAAGAACTGAAGGAGAAAAAAATTCCTTTTTGCAATGCGTTGCATCGCTCCTGCTCACCAAACGCCGGGACAAGATGCTGCCGAGACCCCCGGGCAGTGCCCAGCACAGCACCCACCACCCTTGGCCACCGAGCAAGGCACGCCGCGGTTGGCTGGTTTTGCAAGGACCACGGGAAGGAGGGAGCAGGTCAAGAGAGGACAGAGCCCTTCACGGCCCTGCGAAGAATAGCAAAGCTCCTCTGAGTCACTGCCTGGGCCGAAGAGGACAAGGAAGCCAAAGTGCCCCATGCCAACGGCAGGCACGAGGGCCAGGAAACGAGCAGGCTGGAGTCAGGCGCGCTGGCAGCCCTGCCCTCGAGCAAAGGGCTTGGTATTAAAGCAAAGGCTAGATATTTCCATGGTGCCATTTCTTCCCTGCCCAGGGCGGGTGGGGTGACGGTCCTTGCGTCACCCACGTTATCCTCCCAGACCCCAGGAGAAAGCCGAGGCACTGTCTCTGCTGCCAGTGGCAGGACATCATTTTTCACGGTGTCCTGGGCAAGGTGTCTCCGTGCCTGAAGGGCTCAGGAGAGCATCCCCTATGCAGGGCATCACAGAAGGAAATGCAATGAGGCAAAGCAGAGCGCTCCAACTCTGCCCCTGCCAGGCAAACCCTCACGGTCACCTCTAACAGTGGGCTCCTTTCAAACCTTCTGCCACTGTGGTTGCTTCTTGTTGGGTTGGGTTTTCACTTGCTGCACCACTCCATCAGTAAAGCCTGCCTGCCAGAGCAGGGTGGGCCTGCCCCCTTTCCTACCCATTCCCACAGAAATCTGGGCAATAGGAAAAATGCAACCAGGGAAGCAGCTATAAGAGCACCCGGGGGTGCTCTTACCCTGACCTCACCATGCAGGAGGCTGGTTTCAGCCCAGCACCGAACCTCCTCCAAAAGAGAGCAGGGGCTGGGCTGGGACCCTCAGAGAAGCCAAAGCCTCATCCTCATTGCCCCATGGCACCTCAGCAAGACGCCTGTGGGACCCCAAACCCAAGCGTGGGTCTGCAGCTGGGTGGATTTGATGACAAATGCAATGCGAAGTGCAGCAGGAAAGCTCCACACGTATAAACACTTTACAGCCTGTGACTACATATGGATTGAAAATGTGCATGTTCCCCCCCGCCCTCCCTCCCCCATAACGTATCCTCCCCAAACATTTACAACTCGCAGGTCTTGAGTGTTTATGCTTTGCCGTGCAAGTGCAGAGTTAACTTTGCCAGGGGTTGCTCTGGAGCTAACCAGGATGGGTGGTTGTGCCTTGCAGGCACCCGCATTTAATGCGTATACAATGCACACACATGCATTGAGCCAGCTAAAAAGTACAAGCACTCTAAAATTAAGCCTTGCTGCTCCCTGTGTTTTTAATTCTGCCCTCTCCCGCGTATGTCCTGTGACACAGTCTTTCATTTCATGACTGCATGCCATTACGCTGAGTCCCTCCACGGGTGATGTATACTGTGTTCCAGCCGCAGCTTCAGGCGCCCTGTTAGAGCCGAGGTTTCCATATGGACTCACACCCACATATGGATCGCAGGCACATGCGTTTGTTCCTCCGGCACTAACGGAGCAGCCACCTTCAGGGTGAACGTCAGCAATGCTTGGATGATATGGAGAGCTATTAGAAAGCAGTAGAAAACAGGGAGAGGAGGAGAGCGTGGTGTCGGCTGACCCGGCAGCATCCCCAGGGCTCCCACGCAGCATCTCTCCGCTTGGCAGCAATTGGCACTGGTCAGAGAATCCAGCCAAGGCCCAACACAGCCACCGCTGGAAGGGTTCTGTTCCTCCAAAGGGAGATGGCTGTGGCAGAAGTAGGAAAGGCGCACTGGGGTAACAGTTCACTTCCTAACACTCAGGAACTCAGCCCACAGACAGATGCTACAGCATCTGCCCTGGCCACATAACGAGGAGGAAGGTTCCTCTAAAACGCTGTGTGGGCAAGGAGAAACTCCACCTCTGCCTCACCACCCTGCCCCTAGAAACCTCATCCTTCAGGAAAATCAGCAAACAGCCTCCCCTGAGGGTCTTTCCAGACTGCTGGGCTCCAGGACTCTGTCCAGCGGCAAACGGGGAAGGACTGGTGGATGGGCTTGGGAGGCTCCAGAGTGACAGCATCCTCAGACAGGGCTTGTAGGAGGTGCCCTTCCCTGCCTGACCCTCTCCCTTTTCTCCTCAGCCTCTTTCTTCGGGGACAGCTTCGTGGAGATGCCGTTGGCAGACGCCTCGCGCACGGTGCGGCTGCAGCTGCAGCTCTACACCAGCCAGGGGAATGGGCTGCTCTTCCTGGCCGCCGGCCAGCCCGACCACCTCCTGCTCCAGCTGCGAGCCGGCAGCCTGCAGGTCAGCACCCCAGCACCCCACTCCCCTACACGGGCTGGGGTCTATGCGTCTGGACTTCATCCAGTGCAAGGATGAAGGGGCAGCATCTGAAAGGAGCAGTCCGGGAGGCCAGACACAAGCATGGACAGCCAAGCTGCCAAGACACTTGCCAGGGATGTTAAGAGGTGAAGAGGAGAGTGGACAGAGTCTTGGGAGAATCAGTTAAATACAGAGAAACGGGGTCCAGCTGGGGAAGCTCCTCACCCACTGCCCGGGGTGAGGCTGGGCAGCATCGTGGAGACGCCCAGACACCGGCACCCCACATACATTACATGGTCAGGCATGGTGCACAGCACCCTCAGGGTGCAAGGGGTTAGTGAAGAGAAGGGGTGGGACACAAGGATCCAGAGAAAGAAGAGCTCTCCCCTGTCCCACCACAGGCCAAGCCCAGCTGGGGCATGGGAAGCGATCAGAACAGAATAAAATTCCCTCTTGTGGTTATGGCGTTGGTATCCACCATGAAGGAAGACAGCAGGGAGTATCCAAGGCGCACATCCCACCTCTCCTGCAGCCTGGGCTGGGCCACCAACCACATCTAAACCAAAGCAGGAGAGGAAGCGAGCGGCTGGCCGGAGGTCTCCCTAATGCAGACCATGTGTCCCGGGGCCCATCAGCTAACCCTCTACTTAGGCAGGCTCCAGGCTGCTGCCTGTGGGGAGCAAAGC